TAAAAACTGCCTTTCTTTCTTGGATTATGATTGAAATGTTTAGACTCAAGCATTCATCAAAAATAACATGAGGTAGTATTTATTTCTCTGATTATCTGTCTACTTAGCCAGAAGAAACGTTCTCTTGACTATCATAGTATGAAAGCTGAATTACTGAATATAATTTTTAAAATGTCTTAGAAGAATATTGAATTGATTCTGGAATCAGTTATTTGCTTAGATACTTGGCAATCATCTCAACACATAGAGAATCAAAGAAGACTTGAAATCAGTATTGGGTAGTAGTTAAGCCCCTTGGCTCCACTATCAGGTGGACCTGGGTTCAAACCCTCACACTATAGTTTAGATGTGTGACCTTGAAAAAGTCACATTCCAGCTTCAGTTTCCTCATCTGTAAAATGGGGGCAATCATAGTGCTTTCAACAGTTATTCTCAGGACTAAATAAGAAAGTAAGCCGGGCGCGGTGGCTCAAGCCTGTAATCCCAGCACTTTGGGAGGCCGAGGCGGGTGGATCACGAGGTCGAGAGATCGAGACCATCCTGGTCAACATGGTGAAACCCCGTCTCTACTAAAAATACAAAAAATTAGCTGGGCATGGTGGCACGTGCCTGTAATCCCAGCTACTCAGGAGGCTGAGGCAGGAGAATTGCCTGAACCCAGGAGGCGGAGGTTGCGGTGAGCCGAGATCGTGCCATTGCACTCCAGCCTGGGTAACAAGAGCGAAACTCCGTCTCAAAAAAAACAAAACAAAACAAAACAAAAAAAAAAAAAACGCTTAAAGATCTTAAATGAACTTAAAGATGCTTAAAGATAAGCCTTGCTTGATTGAAGCAAGATGTGTGCTTTGAGGATTAGAGATATGAAGGGTAGGATAGGTAGGATAGGTGAATGGGATATTGAGAAACTTGACATAAAGATACTTCTGTTTAAACTTGATTTAGCAGAAGATAGGCAGTATGTTCTTTTACCTCAATATAATTAAGTTAGAAATAAAAGCAGTTAACATAAAAAGACCTCATACACTGGAAATTAAAAAGTATACTTCTAAATAATTTATAGAACAAATTAGAAATCCAAATAGAAATGTAAAAAACTTAAAATGGAATAATAATGAAAAACTTTATAGCTTATGAGATGTAGCTAAAATAGAACTTTGAGGTATATTTATAGCTTTACATTTGCATATGTGGAAAGTTAAGAAACAAAGTGAAAAGAGAAGGAAGTTAGAAGGAAAATAACCCAAAGTTGAAGGAAGAAGTAATAAAAATCAACTATGGATAACTAGAAAATAAAAACAGAGGACAATAAAGCCAAATGTTGGTTTTTTGAAAAGACTATAAAATAGATAATATTTTGGCATAATTGTCTATGAAAAAAGACACATGATTAGAAATGAAAAGAGGTAATAACTAGAGCTAAGGCAGAGATTAAAAAGATGTTAAAAACACTACGAGTCTTTTGCACCAGTAAATTTTAACATGCAGATGAAATGAACAATTTCCTAGAGTAAAAAAACTTACCAAAAGAATTCAAGAAATAACAAGTAGGCCCATTTATCCACCAAACACAAAAGCAAAGTAAACAAGCAAACCAGACTTATAGGTTTATGTAGAGTAGGACCGTCTTTATCACCTCAACTAATTTCAGTTACCATTTGGTGATCAGTTGGGTCCATCTGGGGTACTGGGTATAGTCACTGTATTATTCCCCAGTATCCAATAGTGCCTTAGGTTCTGTGATTCAGCCTTTTCATAGGCTTCCAACAACTGTTGCAAAGCAAGTATATAGTTGAAAATTCCTTTCCCAGTTTATTTTCGATGGGGTTCTAGTTGAGGCCACTTCCAGACTTTCAGAATCATTATGACGTTCCTCTCTTAATCTACACTTGTAGAGGGAGGCATTATGATAAATTTAATTACTTTTTATCTACCTGCAAAACATTAATTAATTTTGCCCAGACATTTCTGCTCTGTTTGAAATTTCAAACTATAACTTCAGTGGTAATTTTTCTTTTTGCAGGAAATAACTAAATATATGATTAAGAGAAAATAGTATAAGTCTCATTTTAACAGTATGAGCAAGCCAATTTGATTGTATCTTTTAATTAGGATGTGGATACTTGAGTGACCATGGTTTTAGTAATCTATTCATCATCTTTTGAGAGTTACCCTTTTAGTCAAAGCATTTCCATTTAATACTAATGCTTATTTTGAACCTGCTAAAATTTTATTTTTCAATCATGGGTTTTTTTTTTTTTAAAAAAAGAGGAGGAAATAGAGAAGGTAAGAACAAACTTTCATGGAGTAACTACTAAATGTCGGGCCTTGTGTGAGTTTCTTACAGGTTATCTCATTTAATCTTTATAGCATAGTCAGGTGGGCATGATTATTACCTCTTTACAGGTAGAAGAAACTCAACCACATAAAAATGAACAGCTGTTATCAGGGTCACTTAACTAAGTAGTAACTAGCAGAGCCAAGGATTCAAGCTGACAGACTTCAAACACACACACACACACGCGTACATGGAGACAGAATGGTTTCTTCATTCAATCTTTACTCTAAAAATGAGGAGTTAATTAGGAGTAACCATGGTGAAGAAGAAAACTATAGTCTCTGTTGTCACAGAAAATTCTTATTCTCGTAAAAAGATGCATGCTCTCAGAATACAGCAGGTGGAGCCAATCCAGCTTGAGCTCAGCCTTGATCACAGTTAATTTACTTATTTGAAGGTGTCATGTAGCCCTTTGCAAAATGTGGCTAAAGGGTAAAGATAGTTGAATTATAGTGGTATTTATAAACTGAGGAACTTTCTAAGATCTTATTTAGTGTGAATAAAATATTCATGTAAGGATTTTTACATTATAAATTAATTGTAAAATGGGAATTACATTCCAAATTCAGAATATTACCTAAGCAGAGCCAAAGTTCTATGGTTTAACAGAAATTGAGAACATTGTCTGATTTTTATTTTCCTGAGTCCCCAGAATTTATTTATTTATTTATTTTGGAGACAGAGTCTTGCTCTGCCACTCGGGTAGAAATGCAGTGGCATGATCAGGGCTCACTGCCACCTCCACCTCCTACCTCCTGGGCTCAAGCAATCCTTCTACCTCAGCCTCCCGAGTAGCTGGGACTGCAGGCACATGCCACCACACTTACTTAATTAAAAAAAGATTTTTTTTGTTTTTGTTTTTGTAGAGACAAGGTCTTCCTGTGTTGCCTAGGCTGGTCTTGAACCCCTGGGCTCAAGCCATTCTCCCACTTTGGTCAGCCTCCTGAAGTGCTGGGATTACAGGCATGAGCCCCATACCTGGCCTTAATTTTTAATTCTATCCCGATAATTGAAAGTTCATTGTCTGTAGGGGTACTAGGGAATTTCAGTTTGTATTCTGCAAGAATCTCCCTCCTCAGTAAGTTCCATTTCTTTTTTCTTTTCTTTCTTTTTTTTTTTTTTTTTGAGACGATGTCTTGCCCCGTCACCCAGGCTGGAATGCAATAGCACAATCTCGGCTCACTGCAACCTCCACCTCCTGAGTTCGAACAAATCTCCTGCCTTAGCCTTCTGAGTAGCTGGGACTACAGACGCCCACCACCACACCCAGCTTTTTTTTTTTTTTTTTTTTTTTTTTTTGTATTTTTAGTGGAGATGGGATTTCACTTTGTTGGCTAGGCTGGTCTCGAACTCCTGACCTTTTGATCCATGCACCTCAGCCTAATTAAAAAAATAATTTAAAAAACCCCCAGCACTTAACTAATACTTAGTTAAGTGACGGGATTACAGGCGTGAGCCACTGTGCCCCCTCCCCCTTTCATCTTTATGTTACAAATGCAATCATGAGGAAGGTGAGAATTATGATTGACTTAAGGTTTTTATCCCTTTATCATTTAAAAAAAACTCATGTTTGGGCCTGGTTTCAAAAAGCAATAGGCACCTTGGCTTACTGATTTTGATAACAAAATGCTTCAACTATGAATTTACTCTATGAATTTGCTACCATTCCCTGTACCTATTAACTGAAATCTGCTATGTTGATTCTACAACTGCCATAAAAGAAATTTATATCTACTATAATAATAAGATAAAGAACGGTTGGACCTCAAATTATCTACTATGTACTTTAAAAAACAGGCTGAATAATCAGTGAGAAAGCTTTCCCAAGTACTAATCTGATTTTAAAAGTTAGATCTAACTATAGTAATCTATGGGAGTGGATGGAAGATGTTACAGGATTATTAATCAGAGAAAGGAAGAATGCTGACTTGCGGGAAAAAGATGCAGATCTAAGCATCTTTCTACACCTCCTGGAAATTGCCTGATCCTGGCTCAATTCCTAGGTCTGATATATATAATTTTCATTTGAAAAATAACATCTTACTAAAATGAGAAAAAATATCAGTCATTACATAAGAGGGAGTCAATACAATTTTTCTTAAATGCAGATTTCAATCAAGTCTGAATTTACTTATTGTGAGGTAGAAGAAAGTGTGTATTTTCTTGTTTTTATTACATATATTTTCTTAGTTCTGTTACATATATTTTAATGGAAAAACCAATAATAATCGCCTGAAGGACATAGATTTTAAAGCATTCATGCACACACAAAATGCATGCAGAGCAGAAGTGATTTTAAAACTCCTTTAGTACTGCTTTAAAAGGTACTTATTTTTTAAAAAGGGCAATAAGTGGATTTGCATTTTAATGTTGAGAAAATGTGAGCATAAAATGAGCACTGCATTTTAAAGTTGAACCAAGTATATATATATTGATGTTAACTCTACAGGATTGAATTATGTGCTGTTGATGATTGAGTTTACAATAATTATCAAAGCTTTTCCTTAGCAAAGACTACTGAGTCTTGAAGGTTTTCATTGTTGCTGGTTATACAGATATGATGAGTGGGTGAATGAGACTGACTTCATCTTTTGGTTATGTCTTTCCTTTCATGCCCATAAGTACTTAAGAAGGAGAGGTTAGGGATTTCCCACACAGATGACCTCAAACTTCATCTCTGGCTCATACTTCTTTGAGTTTCTAGCCCATATATTCACAGGCCTATCTGACAGCTAACCTGCTTATCTCAAAGGCATCTCAAACTAGGTAAGTCTAAACTAAACTTGTAGCCCCTCTCCCACAAACCCTCAAAACCTGTTCTTCATCTAATGTTCCTTGTTTCAGAATGACATGATTCGTCCTGTTACGCAAGCCAGAAAACTGAGTTATCTTGGATACTTTGCTGCCTCACCTCCCATATCCAGTATATAACCCTAAATACTAGTTATTTTACTTCCTAACTATCCCTTCAGTCTATCTCATCTTTCTCATCTACCTGTGTGATCCTAATTCACATCGAATCACCTCCCACTTGATGTTTTTCCCACTTCTGCACTGCCCACTTTCTATACATCCTCCATATTACAGTCTGCTGATCTTCCTTAAGCAAATCTGATATTCTCATCCCCTAATTTAAACCCTTCAGTAGCTTCTTAACTGTTCTTACTGGCACCTAACCTTCCTCCCATGTGACCACATTAGCCATTCAGCTTTTGATTTGCATGGTGCCTGTTCCCAGCACAGGGTCTTTGCATATGCTGTTTTTGCTGCCTGGAATGATCTTCCAATGTTCCCTTCACCCCCTCCTTCTGACCTGGTTAATGCCCACTCTTCCTTCAAATCTCAGTCTGGTTAATCCGTGTAGAAATCCTCCTCGATTCCTTTGATTAGATCAATACCACCCTATAAATTCTTCTAACATTCTTCTAACATCTCCTATCAATGCAATTCTTTCAGAAATATTTCTCTCCCTGATTAGACTCCAAATTTCAGACAAGGGCAGAGTTTGTATCTTTAACCCATTTCCTATTTGCCCCAAGAACACTGCTGGCAGCGAGCTGCACTTTTTTTTTCTAAATGGGAAATGGGTTAAAACATGTTTTTTTTTTTTTTTTTTTTTTGGTTGTTGTTCATTTTTGTACTCCAGTGCCTAGCACAGTGCCAGGCACATAGACGTGCTCAATAAATATTTGCTGAATGAATCTTGCACAATTCTTCCAAATAAAATTCTCCCATCTTTTGGGTCCATGATTCATTTTACTGTTTATGGCTTTGCTTGGCCTTTCCTGCTTGAACTTGACATTGGCTTTTCAGCGTTGACCTCTAACTTGCCTAGATTTCTTTTGAAGCCTACAGAGTTTTCAGTTGCTTCTGGCCAACATTCTATAAAGTTCAGTTTGGCTCCATGATTTCAGTGCAGGGCGCCCGCATGTCTGGAGTGAAACTTAATGTCCAATCCAACCTCACACATACAGACTAATATCTATACTTATACTACCATCTATCTTATCTATTGGTAGCATATAAGACCAGAAACTCCAGAGAATGCAAAGAAATATATAAAATGTAACCACAGTTAAGAACTATCTTTTTCTATTTTTAGTTATTCAGTGCTCTAAAAATATGTCTTTTATAATAAAAGTTTCAAAGTTTAGATACCCTATCTTAAATAACTTTCAGTTTTTTTAAAACAAAGTACTAAATTATTGTTACAATGAAAATATCTACATTTTCCTGCCCCATGTGGTGGGTCATGCCTATAATCCCAGCACTTTGAGAGGCAAGGTGGGCGAATAGCTTGAGCTCAGGAGTTCAAGACCAGCCTGGCCAACATGGCAAAATCCTGCCTCTACATAAAATACAAAAAGTTTAGCTGGGTGTGGTGGTATGCACCTGCAGTCCCAGAAACTTGGGAGGCTGGGGTGAGAGATTCACCTAAACCTGGGAAAGTCGAGGCGGCAGTGAGCCATGATGGTGCCACTGTACTCCACTCTGGGTGAAAGAATGAGACCCTGTCTCCAAAAAAAAAGGACATTTTCTTTAAAAAGCTATTTATCAAAGCTTATATCAATAATAGAATCAACTGTTTGTAAATTGATTTTTGAATTTTTTTTTGACTTGGCCAAGAAAGTCAAAATAATCATAGGTCAATTTGTCTCCTATATTGAGGGTTTAAAACTTTCTGGGTTTTCTGGGTATGGCAGTAAGGAATGGCACAAACATTTAGCAATATGATTGGAGTTGGGGGAAGGGTATATGCTTCTAGGACTTTGCTTTCTCTCCCCCACTTTTTTTTGACAGGCCTCTGTTTTGCACCAGAGTTCTGGTACATGGAATATTGTCTTGTGCCCTGTGTCCAACTCCTAGTCTCAATTTCTTGTCTAGCATTTCAGATTCTCAGGGACAGGGGGTTCTGCCCTATTTTCCACTCCCGGCTCTACATTTCAATTCCCATGGCAGGGTTTCTCTTACATGCTGTTAAACCTTGGCATATGTTTTTAAACTTCTATTAATTTTTTTTTGAATCACTTCCTTTGGAGAACGTGCAATGCTCTACTCATCTACTGTGACTTTCTTCTGTGACCTACAGAGAACAATGTACTTCCACTCTTGTCTATTGCTCCCACATCCTTTTGCTCAACTGACTACATGTCTGTTCAGTATCCATGAGTCTGTGAGGCCTCTGGGTCTTGGCTAATATGATTCTTGCCTGTTTTCCTATTAAATGAATACTTCATATGACATCTAACTCAAGGAATTGGGGTATCATACAGAATCCTAGTCCAGACAAGTTATATTATCCATTTATTCATTCATAACATTTATTTGGTAGGTCAGGAGATCACCTATTTGTAAGCCCCTGTGATTATAATGTCAAAAAAGCCATGATCCATCACCTTAAGGAACTTGGAACCTACAGGAGAAACAGATCAACTATACCACAGTACTATATAACGAGGATGATGACAGGCAATGCCCAGGGTCCTAGAGAATTAAAGGAAGAGGCATTTATATCAGACTAAAGAAAGAGGCATTATATCAATAGGTGAGGGTGAGAAAAGGCTTGACTATGACCACTGAACTATTTACAGTTCAATACAAGTAGGTATTAGATAAGTGGGAAGAAATGGGAGAAAGGCATTTTCAGGCAGAAGAAACTGTAGGTTTAATGTCACAGAATACCTTGGTGAGTTCTTGGAAGTACAAGTAGTTCAAAATAGCTTAATATGAATTGCACTTAAGGGAAATGGTGGGTAGATGAGGCTGGGAGGTATGGCAGGAGGCAGATGGTGAAAGTCTTGGTATTTTAAACTATGATTCAACCAGTTTTAGGAGTACAGTTGATTCTCATTGTTTGTCATAGTTATATTCCAGAATGTCACCACAAACACTGAATCAGAGAATACTAAACCCATTGCTCCTAGGGTCCTGCCAGCCGCTGGTCATATCGTTTCATCAATGGAACAATACATAACCTTCTTTCATGTGTCTTTATGTTTAAAGAAATCTTAAAATATACTGTTGATTTATCAATATTGAACTCATGGTAATAGCACTCTAACTCATGCCTGAACAAAGCTTATCTAATGCATATATTTTATCCATAAGGCACATCATAACCTTCTTGCACTTAGGAACTTCAAGCTATTTTAAACAGCAAAGTCACCAAAAAAGAGCAAAAAAAAAAAGAAAAAAAGTGAAGACTTAGCACTGAATAGCAAAAAGACTCTTGTTTGGAGTTATGGGAGTGAAACACAAAGGCAAAGCCCCACCTTGTTCAGCCTCAGCTGCAAATGTGTGTGCTGAGCAATTCCATTTTTTTAAAAAACCACTTTCCACATGTCTGCAAATGACCATGAAAGTGCCATGAGTATTGATTTTGGGGTTGTAAATAAACTGTAGCTAGTAGGCAAATTTGCAAATAAGGAATCCATGAATAATGAAGATCTATATTGGCAATACAGTGACTTGGGAACTGTTCAATTTCAAGAGTCAACTAGACAAATGACTGTATCATCTCGAGCTGTGAGGCTTTCTTGACCACACTTTATGTGACTAGAATACATTATCACAGAAAATGATAAAGTGAAGTAAATATAGATACATCAATCATTTATTATCTGGCTCTCTTATAATTGTCTAAGAACGTTTTCATCTTGCCTTAGATAGAGGCAAAGTACAATGGTTGATAGTGGCTTTAATTTCAGGTGTGCCATGCTTATTTTCTGAGTTACCCGATCCACAGAATCATTCCAGTTCTTCAATAAACTCACGATTTGATTTGCCCTGCTGCTTATAAAGTGTTTACTAATTTGAACAATAAGGATTCATGTAACTGGAACCAAATTGATAGTTCTGCATTAATTTAAAAAAGGAAAAAGGTACATGATCCTTTTTTGTTTCATTTTGCATTTAGTAGTTTCATTTAATTACCCTTTATAAGCAGATAATGAATGTGGATCATTGCCCAATATTATCTCAGCATTTAAAGTGTTTTCATTTTGTTCTTAAGGTGAAAGACATAGAAGATATAATACACAGATCTCTGGAAAAAGAGGAAGAGATGCATTTGGGACATGTCCCTGTGGAACTCTGAGGGTAGGTCTATATGAGGCAAATTAATTCAGTAATATTTTTTTTACTACTTCTTGCAGAGCAGGGCTACCCCAGAGGCAATGTGCCCAGAGTAGCTGAATTCAGCTATTTGATCCCAAATCACATTCCTCTCCCAATTATGATTTTACACGCTGTAGATGTTACTAAAGAAGATTTAGAGGGGAACCTTATGTGTCAACTGAAAATGTTCCCCAGCATTGAATAACTTTTGAAAACAAAGTGGTACTTATGGATGATATAAAAGCATAAAACATTTGTATATTACTACAATCTTTTAATTATCATTTGCTATCAAAATATTTGCTTGTTACTGTATTGCACAGTCTGTTTTTATGACTCTGCTACTTGAGTGCTTTGCCAAATTAGGAAGAGAACAAGAATTTAAACGACTAAACATCTTTTATTGGTGAAGGGGAAATCCACCACTTCCTATTGGTATTCCTTTTATGGAGGAAAAGGAATTTTTATAAATATTATATTAGGGTGAGAAAGAAAAACTAAAAGCCAGGTAATACTGGGAAATTTTAGGTTTGTCTAAGAAGCCAATCCCTATCATTTTGACACAAAAGAGGATTTTCTTTTATCTGAGCATCTTGGCAATGATGCTGAGGAAATTCCCTACATTTTTGCTTTGGTTCTCTGAAGTTGAC